GAACAAATCATAAGATGTTAACTTTTATCCTAACTGCCTCTGCAATAATCCACTTTCCAATGCACTTGGCATGACAGCAAGGCTGTTCATATCCCTGGTCTATGGTCAGAGGGGATTCATTGTAAGCCTACATTTCCCCTTCACTTCTTCTTAAAACTGAAGCAATTTTAAAATTAGTCAAGAGTGATCAAATGATAATATATTACACTTTAAGCTAACTCATTTGCCATAATCAATTTTATATAATTCTCTCTGTCTGATAGCAAGGCTATCACATCCTCTGAGTGTGGTCAGAGGGTATTCACTGGAGGCTTAATCCACTTAATCTATGTGTAGACCATGCAAAGGGATTTGGGGCTTCTACCGTTATCCAGACCCTTCTGCAAACTGGGTGCTCACAACTTAAGTTCTGATACCATTCCCTCCTTCAGATTGGATTTTATTATTTACAATCCTGGGATCACACAAGCTGGTGTGCTTCTTCCATTCGGAATTCGTTGACAGCTGCCAGCTTTTCTTAAGGTATATTCCCTGACTTGGTTCTGCCTGCATCTATGTAAGAAACCTATTTACCCAGAGCTCTTAGATCAAGGAAAACCCAGCAGACAATCAGGGATTCTCTAGCACAGTGGTTCTCAACCTTCCTAATGCTGCGAGCCTTTCATACAGTTCCTCAAGTTGTGGTGACACCACCCCCCCAAACTATAAAATTATTTTCGTTGCTACTTATCACTGTCATTTTGCTACTGTTATGAATCTGGCAACCCCTGTGACTCTTAACTCTTGGTCCTTGTAACAATGTTAGAAGGGTACAATGTAAAATGCAAAAATGTTATAAGGTTTAAAATGTAAACATGCTAGTAAGCTTTATAAAATGGGTATAAACGATGGACTCAAAGCCAGACACAAAAGCCACATTCTGTATGATTGTGTGTATATGAAATCCCCAGGAGAGGCAAATAGACAGAAAGTATATTTGTGGTTGCTTGGCACCGAGGATGGGAACAGTGAATAATGTAAGTATGTACCACAGTGAATGATGGGGGGAGTGCGGAGTGGAGATCCAAAGCCCGTTAGTAGGCCACTGGAGATCCCCTTGCAGAGGGGTCTCGGGGAGGAGATGAGCCAGTCAGGGTGTGATGTAACAATGATGAGAAATACAACTTTCCTCTAGTTCCTAAATGTTTCCTCCCCGCTCCCACTACCATGACTCTAATTCGATCTTGCAAGACTGGCTAGACCAGAGGATGTACACTGGTACAGATAGGAACTGAAAATACAGGGAATCCAGGACAGATGAGCCCTATAGGACCAGTGGTGTGAGTGGCAAAACAGGGAGGGTAAAGGGAGAATGGGTAGGAAAGAGGGAACCGATTACATGGAACTGTGTGTGACCTCCTCCCTGGGGGACAGACAACCGAAAAGTGGATGAAGGGAGACGTCGGACAGGGCAAGATATGACAAAATACCCATTTATAAACTATCAAGGGTTCATGCGGGAGGGGGGAGCGGGGAGGGAGGGGAAAAATGAGGACCCAATGTCGGGGGTTTAAATGGAGAGAAAATGTTTTGAGGAACGATGTACAAATGCGCTTTACACAATTGATGTGTGTATGGATTGGGATAACAGTTGTATGAGCCCCTAATAAAATGTTAAAAAAGAGGAAAAAAAAAAAGAATAATGTAAGTATGAAGGATCTTATTGTGTGATGAAAATGCTCCGAAATTGGATTGTGGGATCCAATTTACTAAAAATCACCGACTTATATACTTTAAATGAATAAATTTTAAGATTTACAAATCATGTTTCGAGAAAGTTGTTTAAAAAAAAACCTAAGAGAAAGTATACTCAGCTCTTAAAACATGCCTTTTGATCCAACTGGGCTCTCCATATGACGCTGTCAATTTCCCTCTGAAGTGGATATGAAAGCACAGGAGAAAGGAGAGGAATGATATTGCTGAAAGTAAGACAGAAACAATCTGCACATGGTTTCCTCCAGCTCTGGGGTAGGCAAACTTTTGAGATGGAAGCACCAATCCTGTCCCTCACAACAATTCAAAAATTATTCGAGAGCCATAAATAGTGTTTCGTCTATAGTTCATAGGGCCGTTAAGGGTCCGTACCAGTAGTGGGATTCAGCTGGTTTGCACCAGTTTGGTAGAACCAATACCTAATTTTTTGTTGGGTTTGGTGAACTGGTTGTTAAAAATGGCACATGTAATCAGCTGCCCAGCTGCCCAATGTGGAAATCACAAATGGACATTCTTTACTCTTTTAAAACTTCATCTACACAACAGCATATTCTAAGCACCCATAGTAATGTTCGTTCCATTAATCAGTATTAAAAATTAGACAGAACTATACTTGCAATATTTATTTATTCATTTCATAAAATTCATTACACTTTTGTTGAAATGCTACATTTTTATGTCCTTGCATTTGTTACTTCAGTAAACAAACATATAATGTAAAGAGGAAAAGTGACAAACAACTAGGGGGTGACCTGCTGCCATTCTTTTCTGCTTTGTCTTATGCCCCAAGTTCCCACGAGATACTATAAATGCATTATGGAATTTTTGAAAAAGTTCAAACAGCTAGAAATATTGTCAGAACAATTGCTGTAAGTTTAGCAGAAGCGGAAAAGAGTTTTTCAAAGCTGAACATAATATGTATAGAGAAGTCATGTCTAACTGTTTTTAATATTGCAAACACAATGACTACTCTATAATTGGTCTGCCTCTACAAGAATGGGATCCTGCTCGGACAGTGAAAAGATGGTTAAGGAGAAGCTGATGCTCACATAAAAGCAAAGAACATTGCAAGTGAGGCTGTCAATCAAGAAGCAATATGGAAATATCTGAACAGGTTTATTGTTTTTTTCCTCAGGTATTATTTAATATTTTTCACAAATATTTTAAAACTCTATCTTATAACACAGTTATATAGGTGTATCTTTTATTGTTCTTATTTTGTATTAATTGTTTGAAGTAATAAATTACCTTTCAGTATATCATTGTTTTAATACTTAAAATGGTCATTAGGGCATCGAACTGGTTCTTAAATTATTTGAATCCCACCACTGGGCAGCCCCTAACACCAACAGTAAGAGCAGATTGATCACGAAAGATGGGAACAGGGGAAAATAACACAGGGAACCTGTGAAAAATATGGGGACACATATCAGGTTCCTCTTTTTCCCTGGTTGGTAAGTAGGGATCTAAGGTCTCAATGATCTTTGTTGCTGAGTGAGTCATTCTGGGATTCATTGAGACTCCATGTGTCAGAAGAGTGTGGCCCCACACGGCCTATAGGAGCAGATGACCAGATCTTGCCCTGGCTGAGTCTCCAGGTGGATTCAATCCACCAACCATTGGTTAGCAGCTGAGTACTCCCATCAGGACTCCTTAAAATAGCACAATAAAAAGGTAAAGGAACATCATATGGGAGGAAATTTTCTATAAAACAAGAGTCAGGGAGTCACAAGGAGAAACTAAGATAAAAAGGCAGTGAGAGAATAAAGGGCAATGGAAGAGTTAAGAGAGATGATGCTCACTATAGCAACAAACATTTTAAACACTGACTCAGTATCTTCACGTGCTAGGCTCTATTCTACATGTCCTTGTAGAACAGCGGTTCTCAATCTGTGGGTCGCGACCTCTTTGGGGGTCGAACCACCCTTTCACAGGGGTCACCCGATTCATAAGAGTAGCAAAATTACAGTGATGAAGTAGCAATGGAAATAATTTTATGGTTGGGGGGGTCATCACAACATGAGGAACTCTATGAAAGGGTCATGGCATTAGGAAGGTTGAGAACCACTGTAAAACACCATGAAAACAGACTGCGATTATTATTTTCATCTTATAATTGAGGAGACTTAAAAAGGTTAAGTACTCATAAATTCTTAAAGACTGAACTGGTAGGTGCTAAGCCTTTCTTTCCATTTGAATCCATAGCTGGTGCTCTTAATCATGATACTAAGAAAGGAAATAATGAGACGGACATAAAACAATACATCAGAATTAAACATAATCTATGACAGTAAAGAGTATGAGAAAAGAGAAGATGATAGTTATAGAAGCCACAGGACAGGATATAACTTGTAGACAATTGGCCTTTCCAAAGAAGACAATCAAACATTTTGCCATGGAGTAGATTCCAACTCATAAGGAAGGGATACATCTAAAAGAAGTCAAAATCAAAGCGATAAGAGAACATAACTTTCCTGGGCTGAATGAAAAGACTCATTAAGTTATAGGCAAAATAAACAAAAGTGTACTGACATCAAGACCTGGCCTGTTAATTTTGGACTATCATGACGACGAAGAACAAACAAAGAACTTTCAATAGACAAAGAACATAAACAGGGGAAATTAAAAAAAACCTGGACAGTATGTCTATTTATAGGACATGATCATAGAATTCCATATACTATGACATTGTTAATGGTACTATGATACTGTTAATGATAGAAAATTCTAGCAAATAATCTTCCTGTGTACAAGAGAGAAAGACTGGTTAAATACATCATGGCACACATATTCAATCTTAATACAATAATTAGAATCATGCTATCGGAAAAAAATTGTTGAATAAAGCAGACATATTTGTATGCTCCCATTATATCAAATTAAAAAAATCAGGTTTGTATGCTCCCAATATACCAAATAGAAAAATAAACACAGAATGCTCTCATATTTGTAACAAAACCCCCCACATATTTATAGGCATAGATACGAGTAGGGAATTGTCTAAGAGGATGGTCATCAAAATGTTAGTGGTGGTCGTCATCATATTTTTATAAAACATCATGTTTTTATAAAAACATTAAGTGTACTTGATCCAGCTCTGAAGAAATGCACCCACTAGGCAAGCTACTGAATCTCCCTTTGTTTCTATAAATGCTTAGTTACCTGGTCCACACATTTGGGGTGGGTTTGGAAACTAGGATCTAAACTATTATCGTATAAGGCACAACAACAAACAGGAATTAAATTACCTCTTTCTGGAAAGACGTTGTTTTTGGTGAGTTTGACACTTTTGGGCCTTGGGTGGTTATCGTCCATGCCCATAATTAAGCTGCGAAAAAACACATCAAATTTCTTTCTGCTGTCTGCATTGATGGTGCCAGCCACAGTCCACACCAAAGCGAAGAGGAATAAGCCTTGCAGCCAGAGGAAGATCTGTTGGCTTGTCAAGCCATCAGAGAATTCACTGTCCTCCTCTTCCGGTTTCCTGATTTCATCTAAAATAGAGAAAAGGGACCTTAGTGCAGAATGCTGCCGCAGATGTAAAGGAAGTGAAGTGGATGAGCTGGTTTTGCCAGTGACAGACTGATACTAGTTGAGGGGCAATCCTGTTAGACCCTTTATCTATATCCATCTTTGGATTAAGTACATAACAAAGTTAAGAAAGCATCATGGTTGTCCCCATTCAACAGATGAATCCATTAATGTCCTGAGAGGCCATAGCTCACACAGCTAGGATATAGTGAAGGTAGCTATGGATCCAAGCAGGATTCATTCCAAGGCCCAGGTCCTTTACCACTAACCCAGTGCCTCTACGACTTTAACGTGGCCATAAATCAGTAATCCTTGCATATCACGTTCATTATCTTCCTTCAGCATATCTGTGTGAGGTAGCGGCACAAGGATTGCTATTTCCATGTGCTGATGAAGAACTCAAGCTGAGAAAAAGATGGGGTTATTTGTATAATGGTACCCAGCAAATCCATGCCAATTCAAGGCTAAAGTAAACTTCTGTAGGCCAAAAAGCCCTGTCCCATTGTAACTTTTAAGGGGAAAAGATGCGTAGGAACAGAAGAAATAGCTAAGGCATCTCAATCAGCTCTTGGCTTAACAATCAAGGGTAGCACTTACCAAGCAGAGAGGAGTACAGCCTCATCATTGAGAAGGCAAGGTGGATGGGAGACGTTTGGACCACATATTTACACTGAAGGCGAATAAATTCCAGGCAGGGCTGGATGAGCCACATGAACATGTCATCAACCTGAGAGCAGAAAGCTAGGTGAAGTCTGGGGATGTTATCAAATAGTAAATTGAAAACCAAAAGTTTGGTCCACCTGTTGATTTCTTTTGAGGGTAGAGCATAGGGAAAGGCCACTGGCACCAAGCCTTTACCTCAAGTTTCCTCCTTAATGTACAGTTCAAAGACTGTACATCCCACAGGCCATACTGACTCAGTTTCTCATCCCTACCCCTCCATATCACTGCCCAGCATTTGCTACTCATTGAGGCTGAATGACTATGGTTCAGCTTCACCACATATGAAATAAGTTGAGGACTCCATTACTATGTCTCACATAGATGTTAGGAATTCTAACCCACCTTTTATAAGTATCTGGCCTTTGTAAAATGGCACCGCTGTATAAAGTAGCCATAGGAAAGGCAGAATTAAGTTTGGAGTTCATTTTCAGTGGGGCTAATTTATCACCTCGTTTCCGTCTTCCCTCCTTCCCTTCCCATTCTTTATTTCATGATCAGTGACAATAATGCATGTCTCTTCTCCCTACCCCGTTTAACCTTTTAAATTCCTGGGCTCATTTTTTTCCCATCTGAGTGTTTTGTCACTTTTGTTACATTTTTGTCATAGGATCCTCACACTTGTCGGGTAAGATACCAGTAAACAAATGCTTATGGGCAGTTGCTGCAGAGCCCATTCTGATGAAGGGGGTCCCCTGGGTGTCAGAGTAATATTGTACCCCATAGGGTTTCATTTTTTAAACTTTGCATTGTAAATTAGATGGGGTTTATTTTTTTCAGCTCTTCATTTTTATAGACAACAATTTAAACAACGTATTAAACCACCCAATAACTTTCCTGTTTTCACCTCCCACCTTTTTCTCTTCTCCCTCTTGTAGAATATTATTTCCCCCTTCATCCTGGTTGTCAGCTGTCTACCTGTAAACTCTTACTTCCCCTTCCTTCTGTGGCACAATCACCCCTACAAACAAAACAAAACTCCATGGCATTGAGTAAATTCCAACTCATAACAAGCCTATAGGACAGGGCAGAGCTGCCCCTGTGGGTTTCTGCTACTGTCACTCTTCACTGAAGTTGACAGCCTCACCTTTCCCCCAGGTAACTCACTATGCCGCCAGGCTCCTTCCCTCAGCAAACTGTTCTCTAAGTCCATCCAGGTTATGAGGTAGTCACAGTTTCATCATTATTCTTTAGAGATTTCCAGTATTTTAGTGTGTGTGTGTATTAAGATTTTCACCACTTGTCTGTCAGTTTGCTGTACTGTGGTGGCTTCGTGTGGTGCTGTGATGTTGGTAGTTCTGTCAAGAGTATTTCAAATGCCAGCAGGGTCATCCAACGTGAACAGGTTTCAGCAGAGCTTTCAGACCAAGAACAGACTACAAAGAAGGACTTGGCTCCCACTTCAGAGGAAGGAGCCACTGAAAGCCTCATGCACAGCTTTGAAACACTGCCAGATACGGAAGGCCTAGTGAATGGAAGCAGAATATTGTCGGAGATCGTGCCGGAGGATGGGCCCCGTGGGTCAGAGGACACTCACAATGTGACTGAGGAGGAGCTGATTTCTTAGCGTGGCATTGACCAAAGTGACTGGAGATGGGTAAAGCCCACGGAAGCCTCTGGGATCTCTATTTGCTGATGGGCCACAACTCAAGGTCAGGAGAAACAGCTGCAAAAATCTGTTAATGATTGGAATTTAGAAACTATGGTTCTAAGATATTTGGAAGTTGTCAAAATTGAAATGGAATGCATAACATTTAATATCCTAGCCATTAGTGAGCGGAACTGGATTGGCTTGGGCCATTTTGAATGCCAGGAATGACATAATCAAGAAGAGCAGTGTGGAATTCACTGTCAAAAAGGGCATCACAAAATCAACTGTGAAGTACAATGCTATCTGTGATAGGATTATATTTATATATCTCTACACAGGATCATATGTATTATATATCTGGAATCCAATCAAAAGGAATCCAATCAATATGATTATTCAAATTTATGCATCTGCTACAAAAGCTAGTGATGAAGAACTTGAAGAATTCTACCAACAACCTGAATTCTGAGATTGATCAAACATGCAATCAAGATGCATTAATAATTACTGATGACTGGAATGCAAAAGTTGGAAACAAAAAAGGAAGGAACAGTCGTTGGAAAATACGGACTTGGTGATAGAAATGACGATGGAGATTGCATGATAGGATTTTGCAAGATGAATGTTTTGTTCATTACAAATCCCTTTTTTCAACAACACAAGGAGATTATACACATGGGCATCCCCTGGTGGAGTACACAGAAATCAAATGGACCACATCTGTAGAAAGAGATGCTGGAGGAGCTCAATTTCAGAAGCTAGAACCAGGCCAGGGGCTGACTGGAAAATCCATGAATTGCTTAGATATAAGGTCAGCTTAAAGCTGAAGAAAATGAAAACAAGTGCACAAGAGGCAAAATATAACCTTGAATCTATCCCACCTGAATTTCAAGAACATCTCAAGACAGGTTTGACTCATTGAACACTAATGACAGAAGACCTGATGAGCTGTGGGAGGGCATTAAGACCATCATTCATGAAGGAGGCAAAGGTCATTAAAGACAGGAAAGAAAGACAGGATCAAATTGGATGTCATAAGAGACTCTGAAACGGGCTCTTTTTTGTAGAGTAACTAAAGAAAATGGAAGAAAATATGAAGTCAAGGAGCAGTAAAGAATATGCTAAAGGGCAGCTGGAGAAGACAAAGTCAAATATTATAATGAAATGCACAAAGACCTACATTTAGAAAATCAAAAGGGAAGAATATGCTTGATATATCATAAACTGAAAGCACTCTGGTAAAGCTTGAAGAAGCCTTGAGTTGCAATAGTGAGAGATTCTATGGATAAAATATTGCATGACACCAGAAACATCAAGAGAAGATGGAAAGAACACACAGAGTCACTGTACCAAAAATAACTGAGATCCACCATTTCAGGAGGTAGAACATCAACAATTATCGATGGTGATGAAGAAAGAAGTTCAAGTTACACAGAAGACATTGACCAAAAACAGGCTCCAGACTTGATGGAATACCAATTGAAGTGCTTCAACAAGCTCAAGCACTGGAAACATTCACTCGTCTATGCTAGGATATTTGGAAGACAGCTACTTGGCCAACTGACTGGAAGACGTATCTGTGATCATTCCAAAGAGAGGCGACACAACAGAATGTTCAATGTTCAAAGTATAGAACAATATTGGTATCCATGCAAGTACATTTACTTAAGATCTTCCAACAATGGTTGCAGCAGTACATTGACTGGGAGCTGCCAGAGGTTCAGGCCAGATTCAGAAGAGGACGTGGAACAAGGGAAATCATTGCTATTGTCAGATGGATCTTAGCTAAAGGCATAGATTATCAGAAATATGTATGCTTGTATTTGACAATTCCAAGGCATTCAACTGTGTGGATCATAGTAAACTATGGATGACTTTGAGAAGAAAGGGAATGCCAGAACACTATTGTGTTCCGAGGGCACTTATACATGGATCAAGAGCCAGTGGTGTGAACAGAACACAGGAATACTACATGGTTCAAAATCAGTAAAGGTGTTCAACAGGGTTGTATCTTCTTACCATAATTATTCAATCTGTATGCTGAGAATCTAGATTACACGAAGACGAATGTGGCATCAGAATTGGAGGAAGACATTAAAAACCTGTGATATTCTGATGATACTGTTGCGCTGGACAAGATCCATTAACCCACATGCAACTTTAAACAAAGTTAATAAGCCTTTATTGGCTGGATGTCAAGGAGTGGCTAGAGCCTAATTCACCCTTAACCCAGAATGTTTAAAGAAGGGAGTTTTTATACTGTGGAATAAACAATGCACAAGGGCAGGTGGCGTCATGATATATGAAAAAATGAAAACATATAAAAATAAAACAGGGCTTTACAAGCAACATCAGCAATTTCAAAAATAAATAGCCACATTGGGGAGGGAGGGGGAGGGGCAAAAAGGAAAATGAGCTGATTCCGGGAACCTAAGCGGAAAGCGAATTTTGGGAATGATGAGGGAAACAAATGTTTAAGTGTGCTTTACACAATTGATCTATGTATTGTGATGAATTGTATGAGCCCCAATAAAATGATTTAAAAAAAGTAAAATAAACTACTGAAATTAAAAAAAAAAATGGCCACAGGTCAGCAGTTACAGACGTTACAAAAGAAATTACAATAGTTACAAGTGGCCACACTTGGTTCAATACAAAATGGCTATGCGCAGGCTAATTAACACAGGATGGCTATATTGTTAAATTGGCTCCATCTAAATTAAAGTCTACATTATGGTTGCATTGGTGGGTTACTACAACGCAACCTTACTTTCTGTAAGTGAGCAGGACTTGCAGCACTTGCTGATGAAGATCAAGGAGTGCAGCCCTCAGTGTGCATTACAACTCAATGTAAAGAAGACCAAAAAACAACTGGACCAATAAGTAACATCATGATAAAGTTGTTAAACATTTTGTCTTGTTTGGATCTACAATCAGTGCTCATGGAAGCAGCAGTCAAGAGATCAAAAGATGAACTGCACTATGTTACTCTGTAGCACAAGATCTTCTTAGCATATTGGAAAGCAAGGACTAAGGTGAGCCTGACCCAAGCCATG